GGGGGCTTGCTTTCCCGCTGCGCCTGTAGAAAATGCGGCGCGCTCTATTTTACAGAAAATGAGCTACGTGGACCTGGCTAGTGGTGAAAGCGGCTTACCCGGGAACATATGTCTGCATGTCGAACTCTCATAACGAAGGGAATTATTTTCCGTTAAACCCTCCTAACACATATTGCAACATTCAGTCTCGGCAGCAGCAAGGAGACGGATCCAAACTGTTCCAGCTCTCCCTGGCCCTTCATCAAGGAGGCTATACAAGCTCTGTAGACTATATTACTAAATCACTCCCTCTTAGAAACGATTACTCTCCTTGTCATGTTATCTTTTCGGCTGGAATCTACAAAACCACTGCAACTAAATTAAGCCATATGTCCCCCACAACGCTGTGCAATGACGATGAACTCATAATAATACTTAATTTATAAATACGTGTACTTATTTTTTTAGTGTATGCATATGTATAAACAGCAATATTCCTGAATCATGGGTTCCGGTGAAGCTCGGCTTGGCGTGAAGCCCCAGAAAGCAGACAGTGGAGAAGGGGATGTCTCCATCCCGTTTTTCTACTCTTGAGGTTACAGCAAGCCTTCGGGTGTCTGTGTGGCAGCAAGCAGAAGGAAAAGGTAAAATCCATGAATGCCGAAACTGATGAGGTCAATAATCACCTTCAGTGTGCAGATTTTCAACGCTGGAGGAAGGCCTCAGAAGGTCCTTTGCCACCTCCGGTGATGACAGGCAGGAGAGCATGCCCAGCAGGGCTATTTTGCTCTAGTACCTGGTGCAGCCTTGCTCCACGGGGACCAGCACGGAGAGGACTGGCTCTGGGGGGCTGCGGCAGGAGGGGCAGAGGTGGGGAGAACTTTTATTTTTGATTAAAGCATCCTTTTTTTGATCAACTCGGGCATAACATCTAACCCTGCGGAAACAGGTCCAGCAGTGTGTAGGTATATCTAAAGCACACTGACAGCTCAGGTCATCTAGCCCATCTCTCAGTTGCAGGGCTGGCTCGGCTCGAGCTCTCCCTTCCCAGCAGATGCGTGTCTGAGACGTTGCCGAACGCACAAGAAAGAAAGCAGGAGCCTGCTGAATCGGCTGTGGCCGTGCCAGAAAGGGCGCTTGCTCGGCTTCTCCCTCCCGGCCCTCGCCCGTGTCAGGTTTAGTGATGGTGCAACCGCGTGGTGGGTCCGCTCAGCTCACGGAGCCGACAGGAAGCCAACCTGTCAAAATAGGGTTATTTTTCCATCAGCAGCTGCATGATTGCTAGGTCTGAGGCCCGGGGAGAGGGCACTGCCTCTCGGGACGGCAGCCCGGAGCGAGACGCGGCTGCGTGTGCTGTGATGCCCCGTTAGTGTAATTGAGCTTTCCGCTCTCTTCATTAAGAAGTAAGCCTTTTTTTTTCTAGGACCTAATTTTATTACTGTTATTACTGCTCGCTTTGTCTTTTGCCTTGCACTTTCTTACCTACCTGCGTAACGTTAATGCTCAAGAAATCTGTTGTCTGAAGAAAGGAATAACCAGAAATATGACCCCAAATTTGTATAACTTCACAGAACTGGGATATCAAAATGCTGCGTAAACACTAGGTCAACAGTCAGAATTTTTTTTTATTTAAGGCTCTGTCTTTCTTCTCTTAGACGCCACATTTTTCCTGCCGAGGAGGGTGTGAATCAAACACGGCATTGCAACCTCTGCTGCTGCCTGGAGAACTGCTCCACCGACAGTTTCTTGACTTCCCACCACTTTGTAATCCTCAATATTTTTAATGTGTTCCTAACTGTGAGAGCCCATGTGGTTAGCACAACCCCTCGGGTTTATGTCGGAAATGTGGATAGTCCATAGGAGAGTGTAGGGCAGGGAACGCTCTTGTATTGGCAAAAGCAGGGACTTTAGTGCTCTAATTCGTCTTCATTTCAATGTAAAATCTATTGAGAGATGATTTGTGAAGAGGCCCTGGGAGCGTTAGGTAGTTAGAGACCACCTCGTCACGTGGCGGGTAGTATCTTGTTCTGCTGGAGAGTCGGAGGAGCAAATGCCTCCCTAAAAGTTGCCAAAGAAATTATTGTGCCAAGCCGTGGAGGGAAGTTTTGAGGTCGGTCTGTCTGCGCGACTTGAAGTCAGATTTTTGTCCCGGTTTTAGTGAGCCTGAATTTCATCCAAAGTTTATCAGGAAGCAGAAGCAGCCTTCTGGCTACTCCATCTCCCGTTGCAAGTTATTCTATTGACACAACGTAGCTTGTGTATCTTTTTGGCAGGGAATAGTTTCTTCTGTCTGTCTGTTGTATTTAACTGAAGTTAACGAGTATCTCTTTTATTTTTTTTTTTTGAGGAAGTTCCAATATATCATAACAAACTAAGTGAATTCGGAGATTTCAAAGCTTAGCATCCCAAAATAACAGTCTGTTGCAATTTGGCGCAGGAGGCTCAACCGTTTGCTCTCTTCCTGCATTACAGAGTGGCCCGCAGCCAACCCCGGCAGATTACCGCACCGACACCGGGCGTCTATCAGACCTCCAAATCAGCTGGAGCAGGCCAGAAAAAACTCCCTTTTATCCGTTCTAAGGTCTGAAGACTCTGCTCTTCGCGTGGTTTGCTCTCCAGCGATGGCACCGAGTTTTCCATGCTTCCTGCAGCTATGCAGGGAAATGAATCCTCCCCAGAAAGATATGTCAGCCTAGAGATTTCTTAAGGTTTTTCTACTTCATTGCTGGCTTGCAGAAAACAGGAAGATAAATTGCAGGATAAGGAACAAAACAAGAGCATGCGAGAGTTAGAAATGCCTTGTGGGAGCTGTTTGCTGTCTCTTTCTTCTTTTTTTGTGCATGGATGATAGCACTAAGTGGCACTGAATTATTCCCCGAAAGCTGAATTGCTGCTTCTTGTGACTTCCTGCTCTGTAATTTTACTGTATCGTATATCTGCAATAAGGGGGGCGAGAGGGGCAAATAGAAAACAGATGAGGGGATATCAGCTTGGCCCCACAGTGCTACGCCCGAGTTTCCGTGGGTTTATTCTGTGTGAATGAGAGCGAAACAGAGAGCAATGGAAAGCCACGCTTGAAAAGATTTATCTCAGTGTCTCATGTGGGAAGATAATTACAAGGTTATGGGATGAGCTAAGAGAACTGTTTTGTTTATACCAGAGCAGATAAAACACACATTTCTTCCATCACAACGCTATATTAAAAGGAAGCAGAATACTGTGTGTAATTGCCTTTTTGGCTAGCGCGCCCCACAGCCCCGAGGGACAGGCCAACGGGGTGCCTTTTAAACCCGGCGAGCGAACACTTTGCAGCCACCCTGTTTAAAGGCGATGGCCAGAGCGGGCTTCATTCTTGCTATTCTTCTCCGCTCTCCCTCCCTCTCCGGACCCAAACCGGGTTTTTATTTTATTTTGAATTTCAGCTGTGCGTCTGTACGTCGTGCCCGCGAAGAGCCGGTGAAGCCGTGGAGTTTCCGCTGGCGCAGCCTGCCACTGCTCCGATGGCTGAGCGAGATGGTACCGCGTGTAATAATAACGCTCTACACGCACCCAGCGCCTTACGGCCAGAGCTTTGCAAAGAGCTGGAAGGTAAATCGAGTCGATGGCCCGATGCAGCTCGCGGCGCGTGTCGGGGCGGGCGCAGGGAGCTGGGATCCGCGCTCCTCCAGCCAACGTTGCGCACCGCAAATGGAGCAGCCTGCCCCGGGAAACGGCGAGGATGACGTGATCTCAATCAGTCGCTTTCTTCGCGTGAAAGCGAGCGCGTGGTGTGAAAGGAGCATCTGCCACAGCTCTAACCCGGGGGGCCCGGGCAGAAGAGACCAAAGGGGAGCGCGGGGACGCCTGAGGCGAGGAAGGAGCGCAAAACAGACGAACAACGACGCGGAGGGACAATCTTTTTGCCCAATATTAGCACCGATAGCGAAGAGCCAGTAGATAGCAAAGTGAAAGCATGGATGAGATGGGACAGATATCAATAATATATATCAACAGGCTCAATACGCATTATTGAGCAGGCAATAGGGCAGAGGGCCTGGAGGGGCCAGCGCTTGCTGGCTCCCGCGGGCGCAGCAGGCGTTTCTCTGAAATACTCCATTTTTCTGGGTAGGTTTTTTTGTTTCAGCCGCAGCGGGAAGCCGCCCGGGGTTTTGCAAACGCTCGGGGAGTAAGACCCAGGCCTGACGGCCCTTTCGCTCTGCCGACCCACGACTACCAGAAGAAACCGTGCTGAGCGTGACACGAGAGCAGAGCGCTCGAGCCCTTCCAGGGCTTTTGCTCAGAGGCGGTTTGGAAAAATGGGAGCTGAGGCCAGTCCCAGGAAAAAAACGGGCCTGAAATCAGCATTAACTGGAGACTGAAATTAAGTGGAGATTCGGTCCGTTCCAGGGATGTGGGTTTGATCGAATGCAACTATAACTTTTTATGGGAATGACACTATTACGAGGGCAGTAGAAACATGATACGGCGGCATACACAAAAGAACTTTTAATTTTATGCTGTTGATCGTCTCGCCTGAAACTATTTCTAGAGAGATGGAAAGGCGGTCAGCTTTTTAGGAGCTCTCCTTCTGGCTTTTCTGTGAGGCCCGCGGAACAAAGTGAAAAATATTTATGGCCTTAATGATTCAGTAATTCCAGTCTTCAGATTTGTTTATATAGCAAAATCTTTTCAAACAATAAATGCTTATTATTGCTGAAGACTTCTTCTGTTCGGCTCAGGGGTACGGCTTGTGATTCCTCTCTTTTGGTGGAGCAGCTGTTATTTCTGCTTATTGCTTGGTCTGAAATGTGTACAGAAGTGTCTATTCGTCTAAGTGCTATTTTCTACATGATTGATTGTCGAGCATTTGTACGAGCGCGCATGGAGTCCACTGGACACAGATTTCATTTCAAACTAAACATCCGCCTCTGCAAGCAGAGGTTAAAACAAGTGCAAGATAAAACGATGGCAAGTCACAAAGAAGTTCATCAGAGTCCGATAGCCTAATACATTTGAATATTTCCTTCCTAGAGTTGAACCACACTCAAAAACATTCATAGAAATGAACTGAAGGCTTCGCCAGTATGGGGAGTCCCGCTGGAGAGGAGTAATGAAAACAGTGATTTAAAAAAGCATGAGGAGGCAGCAGGATCAGGAAGCAAGAGATGGAGGGGAAGGAAACCAGCAGCGGTAGGTAAAAATGGTGATTTCCCCCCACCTTGGTGTGCGCGAGCTGCCTTCGAGGGGGAGCTCTCTGCTGCCCAGAGACGCGGCTCAGCTCTGCTCCCCTGCCCTGCTCCTGTGCATCCATCCAGCGCTGCCCTGTGTAACTCTTGCTTGATCTAAAATGGCACTTTTTGGGGCAGGAATGGGCGAGTGTCACGTGTGCCGGACCCGGGGCAGGGGAGGCGAGGGGACTGCGTGCTCCCTCCCGTGCCTGCCCTGGCCCCTCTCAGCTGGCTGTCCCGTGCTTGCTTGGACTCTGGAGGAACATTTAATTGGAAAAAAAAAAACACTCATTAGGTTCATTTCCAACATTTTGGGTTCAACAAACTTCTGCTGACTCCAGTGCAGGGTTTTGTGGTTCGAAACCATCCGCGTGGATTTTAGGCTGTTGCAACGGGGACCTGAGGACCCCGGCGAGCCCAGCCTGGGGCGAAGGCTGCAGGAGGCTTGTCCTGGGCCAGGGGGCTCTGTGTTTCCAGGGCAAGGAGACCCACTTTTGAAATGTGCATCTGCCAGCAGGAAGGTGCTCACTAGCCTGCCCAGGGCTTAGCACCTTGCTGAATGTCCTACTCACGAATGTCCAAAACCTCACCTTCTTCTCGGGGATACCTACAACCTCTGTTTCTTCTCTTCTGGGCTGGAATCATGAGCCCTTGCAGGTCAGACACCGTGACTCACCTACTTTGCCGGGGAGAGCGGAAACCCGACGCCAAGGAATCGTTTGGTGCGTTTTATCCAAGAAGCGTTAATGCTGTTTACGTTAAGCAGATTTATTTACTGTGGAAAAATATCATTGTAAATATAAAGGGTTTATTATTGCTAAAGACTTCTTCTGTTTAGCTTGGTGGTTTCTCTCAAGATACATTTCAGTTCCTCTCTTCTACGGAGCAGCTGCCCTTTCTGGCCGCTGCCCAGGCTGTAAATCTGCATGAAAGTTTCGGAGAAGCGTGTTCCTAAGGGAAGTGGCCGAAAAGGACCACTTCTGCTTCCCAGGAAGCTTTAGGGAGAGTCGAGAGCTTCAAGTTTGGTGTCAATCCAAATCAGAACGAGCTCACTGAAAACACGATTAGGATACTGCAATTAGTCAAGATGCCTAAAATGGGAGCAGGCGCCTCGGGACGCCGTCGCGGTCCTTCGTGGGTGACGTTGCGTGGGAAACCTCGGTTGTTTGTGCTTCGCCTGCGCTTCGGCCCTCCGGGGTCCCCGCACGGAGTGGCTCTCGGGGAGCCCTGGGTGCTGGGCCAGGCGGCCGTCGCCGCGCTCTTTGGACATCATCCTGCCACAACGAGCACGAAGCAGCTGGAAGGGGTTTTCCCACGTGAGCTGCTGCAAGGCCGGCGCTACCAA